TATTTTTGGTATATTCACATTTTTGGATATTGACAGTGTATCCCGTGACATTGCTAAATTCACTTATGAGGCCTAGGAGTTTTTTGTACATTCCTTAGGATTTTATATGCAGGATCATGTTATATAAAAATACAAGTTTACTTTTAAATTTTCTAATCTATATGCTTTTTATCTTCTTGCCTTATTCCACTAGTTAGAACCTACAGTACAATTGTGAACTGAAGTAGTGAAAACAAATACTCTCTCTTTGCCTCAATCTCATGGACATAAGTGTGATGTTAGTAATAGGATTTTTTCCCTTAAAAAAATGTGGTGTCCAGCTGGGCGTGTATCAGCAGTTGAGCATCGGCCCAGGACCCAGGAGATCTGATTCCCGGTCAGGGCACAGGCCCGGGCTGCGGGCTCCATCCCCAGTCGGGAGCGTGCACGAGGCAGCCGATCAATGACGATTCTCTCATCACTGGTGTTTCTATCTCTTTCTCTCCCTCTCCCTTCCTCTCTCTGAAATCAATAAAGATATATTTTTTAAAAAAAGTAGCAGCCCTGGCTGGGTTGCTCAGTTGGTTAGAGCCTCATCCCAATACCTCAAGGTTGTGGGTTCAATCCAGGTCACAGCACATACAAGAATCAACCAATAAATGCATAAATAAGTGGAACAACAAATCAATGTTTCTCTTTCTCAAATCAATAATTTTTTTTAGTGTTGTAAAATACATGTAACATAACATTTATCATGTCATTCATTTTACATGTACAGTTCTCTGGTATTAAGTGTATTCATATTGTTCTGCTAACATCACCATCGTTAATCTCGAGTTCTTTCCATCTTGCAAAACTGAACCTCTATAGCCATTAAACAATAGCTCTCCATTATTTCCTCCCCCCCATCCCTGGCAACCACCATTCTACTTTCTGTCTCCATAATTTTGACTTTAAGTACCTCATATTTGCTTTTTTGGGACTGGTTTATTTCATTTAGCATAATGTTCTCATGTTTCATCCATGCTGTAGTATACGTCAGAATTTTCATCCTTAGTAAGGCTAATATTCCATTGCATGTGTATCCCACATTTTGCTTATACATTAATCCATCTATGGACACTTGGGTTGCTTCCACGTTTTAGCTACTGTGAATAATGCTGCTACCAACATGGATGTACATTTGTTTCTGGTTGGGGCATGTACAAAAGGCAACCAATCAATGTTTCTCTCTTACATCAATGTTTCCCTCTTTCGATCTCTCTGTCTCTCCCCTCCCCCCCTTCCACTCTCTCTAAAAATCAATGGAAAAGAAATATCCTCTGGTGAGGACAAAAAAAAAAAAGTACGCCACTCAAGAAAAAAAATATAATGTTCGCAGTGGTGCATTGTTACTACAAAAACTAGAGGTAGCAATATAATTGACTAACACTTTTGTAAAGTAACTTAGCAAGAACCATAAAACTTTTGTAGAAACAAAAACAGGAAAACTTCTTTGACCTGCTCATTCTACTTTTGGAATTTCATTCTAACAAAATGATCTAAAAGATGGAAAAAAACTTTGAAATAAGCTTTGAAAAAACATAGAATAAGGAATTAAAAACCTCAAAATGCCAAAAGACAGTTATACTGTACTGCATTCTCGAAGAAATATTATGCAGTCATTAAAAATCTTTATGAAGAACAACATAAGAAATCACTCATAAGGCAGGATATATACATGTATGATTCCAACCATGCAGGGGGGGGAAACTTATGCATAAACGCTGGGATTAACAAAAGCGTTACCTGCTTTTTGTCAGGTTAGAGAAATAAGAGTAATTTTTCTCATTTTCCTGTATTTTCCAAATTCTATTTAATAGTATATAAATTTTAAAATAAAACATTTATTAAATATGTTGGCTGTTAGAATTGTAAAATGGAAAAAAATACATGATATGAAAAGCACAGTAAGTGTATTTACAGTATAATTGTGACTATGTTTCAACTATGTGTGTGTGCAGAGAGAGAGAATGAGAGAATTGAAAGAAAATGCCAAAATGCTAGTAAGGGCTGTATAAGGTGGGATGAAAGTTAACTATTTTTTTCTCTTTATTTTCTAAATTTTATGTAAGGTATTTATTTTACTTTTATAACACAGTATAAATGCCTTTTTGATAAGTATACCTGGCTATTCACCCCCAAGCTCCCTAGGTTTGCCTTAGGTCTCATCTCAGTTTGCTGCTGTTACTTACCTTGTGTCAAAACAATGAGGCGCTGCCCTGGCTGGCGTGCTCAGTGGTTAGAGCATCGGCGTGCACACCAAAGGATCGCAGGCTCAATTCCCAGGCACGACCATACGCATGCCACGTGGATATTTTTCTCTCCCCTTCCCTTCTCTGAAATCAATGGGGGGAAAATACTTTGAGGTGAACTTAACAACGAGACCCCAATGGTGCATTAAAATTCTATTGTTTTATGTTAGGATTTATCAAGCCCATAGCCAGATTGGAGGCAAAGCTGCTGCAGTGACTTTTTCATACTATAGTTGAAAGGACATGGAATGGATCAAGAAGCAAGAAACACGAGTCTATTCTCAGTGCTGCATTTTTGTTCAGGGAAATCATTTATCTGTTTTCTAATTCCCAAACTAAAAAGGTCAGATTATTTTTAAGAATCTCTAATTGTAGTTCATGTACAGAAAGGTCAGATCTGAATAGGATTCAAGTTTTTGTAGACTAAAGCAAAACCCCAAGAGTCTGGGAAAGCAGGCAGTATGGCTTATGAGCTCTCAACCAGGAAAACACAGTCAGTAAAGAACTCAGCCATGGGTTGGGACAAGAACCCAGAATATCCCCAAATTCTGGGCAAAAATTAGATAAGAAATTTGAGTAATGGTACAGAGCACTAGCAACAGGGCTTGAACAACCCAGGGATTTTTTACACTCTAGCTAGCAAAGGACAGAACTTCATAGTAGGATCTGACCTCACGCATGGAATTCAGGTAGGCACTCTAGGCTAGGTGAGGATGTGGAGAAAAATGCAATTCTAGGAAAATGAGTGTTTTCCTGACAAAATACTGTAATGAAACTCAAAGACTAATCATTTAGTCTGGGAATCAAAATACACAAAGAGCAGTTCAATAGAACTTTCTGAAATGATGGAACTGTTCTATATCTGCAATGTTCAATATGGTAGCCACTGGGCATGTGGGACTATTGAGTACTACAAATATGACAAGTGCACCTTGAGGAACTGAATTTAAAATTCTATTTAATTTTAAATTTAAATAACCACATGTGACTAGGGACTACTACAGTCAGCACAGCAAAAGTCCAGTCCTATTGTTCTTTTTTAAAATTTATTTATTTTTGTTAATCCTCACCTGAGGATATTTTTACATTTCTTTTTAGAGAGAGTGGAAGGGAGGGGGGACAGAGAGAAAGAAACATCGATGTGAGAGACACACATTGACTGGTCGCCTCCTGCACATGCCTGGACTGGGGCCAGGGATCAAACCTGCAACCCAGGTGCGTGCCCTTGACTGGGACTCGAACCTGAGATCCTTCAGTACACAGGCAAATGCTCTAATCACTGAACAACATTGGCCAGGGTGTTCTTTTTAAGTATAGTAATAAAACATACATAATGAAAGAAGAATCCCTTTTTAAATATAAAGAATACATATTGCATTTTTCTTTGTAGCCAGTGTGTGTGTGTGTGTGTGTGTGTGTGTGTGTGTATGTATGTTGTGTGGGTTAACTTAACGGTTCCATAAAGCTAAATCAATTCCAGGAATTTTACAGGAAGCTATACCCTTTCCAGAATAAACCTAGATTAATCACATTCTGGGCTCAACCTGAAGCTGCATTCACCCAAGATGAACCAGAAATTACCCTGGCCCCAAATGACCTTCTAAACTAAGGACAAAGTGAGACACAGCAAATGCAGGGTTGAGCTGGCTGCTCTTGGGTCTGCCTCCATCTTAGCCTTAGACTAAATCTGGGCTCTGGAGCTTGGAATTCAGTGGAATTCATAATTGAATCAGCTGATGCAGACAAGGAGACATTCCTAATCACAGACTGTCCCTAAATTTCCCCATAAGTGCAATAAATAATTACATATTTCTAAACTGGACTCTGAACCTATAAATCTAAACATATTCCAATTTATTCCTATCCTGACCCAAATAAGAAATGTAAGAGATAACCTAATGTCAAAACAGGTTTACTGGTTATTGTACACAAAAGAATGTGAGCAACTTGCAAGTATCAATATAATAAAAGGCTTGGTACAAGCTGCCTTTCTTTCACCCTAAGAAAGTATACCAACTCCAAACTAATAGAGTGGAATCAAATTTCAAGTTTACTTAACAGACATACTCAAAAGAAGCCCCAGCTTTGTTAGAAAAATGGACAAAAACTTCTAGGAGCAAATGGACCGAAATTAAAACTAGATTTGTGCTTCCTATAATTAACATTGTTCGTCTATGATATAAGACAGACAAAACTTTCAAAATTCAAAAACAGTTGATGATGTTTCAGCTTTATTGAAGTATAATTGACAACTTAAAGTTAATATTTTGAAAAGGCAAAAAGAGCCCTGGCCAGGTAGCTCAGCAGTTTACAGAGTCATCCCGATATGCCAGTGCCATGGGTTTGATCTCTGGCCAGGGCACACACAGAAATCAACTAGTGCGGCACAAATAAGTGGAACAAGTCAGTGCTTCTCTCTCTCTCTCTCTCTCTCCCTCTTTCCCTAAAATAAATAAATAAATAAATAATTTTTTAAAAGAACTATGAGGCATAAAAGAAAAAGGCAAAAAGAACCAATAAAGTTGTCAGGTACGAACTTATGGCAAAGAGTTTTACCAACACTCTTCAAACCAAAAAACACAACAAAATTTTAAAAGTATAGATTCTTTGAGATATTAAGGCCAAGATTTTCCCTTCTTCATATCCTCTAAATCCAAATTATGAGAAATAATTCACTCTGACCACTGAGAACATTTCTTCTGCCCAGTGACATAATTAGAAAATTTACTTCTATTATTTAATTTACTCGTTCCTATCCTAATCAAATTCCAAGAGTGCAGGAGAAAGCAAGAGGATATAATTTCCCCTAAAGCCTGGGATTGAGGCATAACTAAACTTATAACATGAGACATTTAAGCACTGAGGGAAGCCCTGATGGTAGGGGAAATGAGCCACCTTTATGGCCTAAGGAACAAATTGCAGATCTCTAAGGCAGATTTGCAGAAGAATTTATCCAGGAATCAGTCTCCTCCAAAGCTGGACAGGGAGGAAGTGTAGGAAGTGCAGCTTTTCTAAAAGGATGACAGGTGTCACTTGGAGACACTCTGGTTTCCTGAGGAAGGGAAGGAGACATTGAAACATCTTGTTTTGTGCGTTTTAGATCTTCTTTGTTTTCCACCATCAGTAACTGTTCTATCTCCTCTTTCAAAGATAAACTTGCTTGAAATTCCTGTTTGGGTAGCTTAAGGTGTTTTTTCTGATTTATTCTCTGGTCCTCTGACCCCTCTGACTCAGGGCAAATGACTTTGTTACTGGAATCCTCACGGACTTCTTGCTTTATGGGAGGGAAATGTGGAGGTTCTGTTGTAGTTTGTTTACTCTTAGCTTCTTCTTTCAGCAAATTTACATCCTCATGAGATGTAAAACTTGGAGCTTTATCTAGCCTAGAATTTTCACAAAGTAAGAAACCTCTTACTTTTTCCTCTTTCTTTGTTGTCTCTGTCACTGATTTCTTTGGATGTAGCAGTGTCCTTATTAGGAGTCCCTGTGCATTCATCCTATATTCTTTTGCAGCTCTCTCTCTGCGCTGCTTCTGGAAGTCCCTGAGTTGCAGCAGTTCCTCTGGAAGTTCCATACATGTAGGCTAAGAAAAGAAAAAGAACACAAGTCTCTTATATCTAAACTTCTGATTATGCCTTAAATCACTTCTGCTATACTTAACAGTATTTGTTTGGCAAGTGAGGATCTATTCAAATGTATTCTTACAGTACCCTCTAGCGTCTTAAACTATAGTAGTACTATTTGTCAAGTAACAAATATTTTGAATCCAGTTTTCTGTGTCTGTGTGTGTCTATGTATCAAGGTTATACAGTGAAAAGTATGTCTCCCTTCCAACTGTGATTACATAAAACTACAATAATGAATATTTTAAGAAAATGTACTCTTTGTTACAGGAGCTAAATAATTTTCCCAGGTTGCCTGTCTTTGCCTTTGTTCACTGTATTTTCGCCATACAGAAATTTTAAAGTTAAATTTATTAATTTTTTAAGAGTTCTGAATATTTCTGTGTTGCATAGAAAAGCACATACTCCTACAACTCAGTAGCAAAAGAGCAAATAATCCAAATAAAAAATGAGCAAAGGCCCTGAGCAGGTGGCTCAGTTGGTTGGAGCATCGTCCTGTACACCAAAATGTTGCAGATTTCATTCCAGATCAGGGCACATAACTAGGCTGCGGATTTGATCCTGGCCGTGGTGTGTACAGGAGGTAACTGATCAATGTTTCTCTCAATGTGTTTCTCACATTGACCCCTCTCGCTCTCAAATCTATAAAACATATCCTCAGGTGAGGATAAAAAAAAAAAGGACCCGAATAGACATTCTCCCAAAGTAGGCATTCAAATGGCCAGTTGGTTTATGAAAAGATGCTCTGACAGCACTAATCAGGGAAATGCAAATCAAAACCACAATGAGATTATCACCTCAAACTTGTTAGGATGGCTATCATCAAAAAGACAAGAAATAACAAGTGCTTTGCAGGGGAAATGTGGAGAATAGGGAACTCTCATACAGTGGTCACATTAAGGTAAATTGGTATAACCATTATCAAAAACAGTATGGCAGTTCCTCAAAAAATTAAAACTAAAACTATCATATGGTCCAGCAATACCACGTCCTGATATATATCCAAAGGAAATAAAATCACTGTCTTGAAGAAATATCAACAATCCCATTTATACTGCATTATTCACAATAGCCAAGATATGGAAACACCCTAAGTGTTCATCAAGGGATGAATGAATTAAGATGATGTGGTCTATATGTACATAGAATGAAATATTATTCAGCCAGGAAAAGAAGGAAATCCTGCCATTTGTGACAACATGGATGAACCTGGAGGGTATTATGCTAAGTAAAATAAGCCAGACAGACAAAGACAAATACTGTATGGTATCACTTATATGTGGAATCTAAAAAATAAAATTTAAAAGATGATTTTAGAAACAGAGAATAGAATGGTGGTTGCCAGGGGTTGGGGGAAATGAAGAGATGTTCAAAGGGCATAAGCGTTCAGTTATAAGAAGTATTGGTTCTGAGGATCTAATTAGTGTACAGCATGGTTATTTACTATAGTTAATAATTCAATATTGTATACTTGAAAGTTGCTGAGAGTACATCTTAGGCATTTTCAGCACACACAAAAAAATTAACAATGTGAAGTGAAGGATGTGTTAATTATCTTGATCTTGGAAGCATTCTACCAATGTGTGTGTGTGTTTACTTTAAATATATACAAATAATTTCTTCAATTATTCCTCAATAAAATTGAGGGGAAACAAAGAAAAGCATTCCCAACTGTGAGATCATTTTCTTTTAATTCTGCTTTTCCCCTAATAATTTTATAACTCCGTTTTTTTTACATAAATACTTGAAGTTTGTTTTGGTGTAATGAAAGAGCTAGCAATCCAACTCTGATTCTCCTCCCCCACAAGGTTTAGTCAATTCCCTAAGGCCATTTACAGAATGATTATTTTTGTCTCATTGATTAAAAATTCTACCTTTATCACAACCATACTGGCAGATATATATTGAATCTATTTCTGGGATTTCTACTCTGTTCCATTGATCTGCCTACACATGTATCAGTCACAAACTGTTTTATTGTTTTAATAATCTGACAGGACTTATTTATGTCTATTGATCTCTATAAACTATAATCAGTTTGCCAAAATAATGCTGGTGTTAATATTTTTATTGGAATAGAGTTAAATTCAAAACTTAATTTAGGAATAATATATAGCTAAAAATACTTAGTGTTCCCATTCAAATTCTCTTTTATGTCACTCAGTAATATTTTAACGTTTTCTTCATCTCTATATTCCACATTTCTTGTTAGGCTTATTTCTAGATAATCTACCTTTGTTACAATTATAAATTGATGTTTTCTTTCATTAGCTTTTCTAGGTGTGTATATGGATACAGGAAAGCTATTAATTTTTATGTTATATTTGTTCCCACTTTACTAAATCGTCTTTTTGTTTGGGGTTTCTTTTTCAGTTGATTCTCTTCAGTTTTCACTTGTGTGATAGGCATGTCATAATTCTGGTTCCTCCTATTCAATTTTTATAGTTGAAAAAATTCCATTGGCTAATAACTTCAAAAAATATTAAAGTAGTGGTAATATTCATCATTTAAATTTTTTTCTTTATATTAATGGGAATGCTTTTAGTGTTCCCAAACATTATGTAGTCTTCTCGCTTGAGATGTGTTTTATCATGTTAATGTATCTATCCCAACTTTAATCAGTAATGTATGCAAAATAATGTAAATGTTTCTAGCATTAAACAGTGAGAACATCATACAAAACAGTTATAAAATTGTCCTTGGTTTTACAATGATAAATAAACAAACATTAAAATTCTTCAATCAAACAACGTATGCAAGAATTTTTATGTTTTTGTTGTTGTTAAACAGTGAAAGCAGAACACAAAAAAATAATAAATTTTTTCGGCATTTATGAGATAATCATAAGACTTTCTTGGCTCTAGTAAAATGGAGAATTTCCTAACATTAAACTATGCTTGCAAATAGAATCCAGTACATATTAAAAGTAAAATAAAATACATCTAAGTGGGGTCTGTAACCAAAAATGCTAATATTGTATTTAGAATTCTACATCAGAATTCCTAATTGAGAATCCAACACCCAAATAGTAAATACTTTAGCCTTTCTGAGCCACAAACTGTCTCTGTTGCATGCTTTTGTTGCTATTGTTAATCCTCACCCAAGGGTATTTCTTCCACTGATTTTTAGAGAGAGTGGAAGGGAGAGAGGGAGGGGAGAAGAGACAGGGAGAGAGAGAGAGAAAGAGATGGAGACAGAGAGGGAAATGAAGAGAGAGAGGGAGAGGGAGGCAGGAGAGAGAGAAACATCGATGTGAGAGAGACACATTGATTGGTTTTCTCCCACAGGGGCCCTGACTGGACTGGGGGTCAAACCTGCAACCCAGGTATGTGCCCTTGACTAGGGATCGAAACCCGAGAACCTTCGGTGCATGGGCCAGTGCTCTAACCACGGAGTAACACCAGCCAGGGTCATACTGTTTTTTTACAATCCTTCAGAACTGTAAAAACCATTCTTAGCTTGCAAGCTATGCCAAAATAGGCCATGGGCCAGATTACGTCTTAGGGCAACAGTTTCTCAACTCCTTGTCTATAGTTTTCTTATATTGTACTGGCATCATAAAAATAACTAATGAAATCTTAAATCTACCCATTCTTTGATAGAAATATTTATCAGAAACAATTCAGTATTGTGAAAAAATGTTCAAGGTGATGGATTAAGCCCAAGCTATAGCCCCTTCAAAAATATTTATTACCAAGTCTGCCTCATGAAATTTGCTGCTGCTGTGAGAGTGGGTGTCACTGTGCCCTCCATGAGGAATAAAGCAGAAGCAGAAGTTCTCAAGTCACAGGCACAGAGAGCTGCACCTACCTCCATGCCTCCCAGCCAGTCTGCAGACCCTTCTCGGTAGGTGTTTAGGTACCTGTCCACCAGGGTGGTTAGGTCAGACATCATCTCATCCAGGAGTACCAAGCGAAGGGGTAGCAGGTAGGTGGCTTCTAGGGCCAAAATTTTCAGTAAGGAGGGTGAAAGAGGTCGTGTGAACCACACTTCTGTATTTTCCTAGAGACACCAAAACAATTTTCTCTGAATAGTAAGCAAAACTTTAAAGAAAATAATTGTTTATTTAAGTGTTGTTTAACTTAAAACATTATTACTGTCATTTTCCTCAATTATCTTCTTTTTTAATTTTTTAAATATGTTTTTATTGATTATAGAGAGAGAGAAGGGGAGAGGGAGAGGGAGAAAGAGAGAAACATCAATCAGCTGCCTCCTGCATGACCCCTACTGGGGATTGTGCCCACAACCAGGGCATGTGCCCTGACTGGGAATCAAGTCAGTGACCTCTTGGTCACAGGCGGACAGTCAATCACTGAGCAACACCAGCCAGTCCTCAATTATTATCTTCCACTTTCACACTACAGCTAGCCTTCTGAGAACACACACATACACACACTTAATGATTCAGGGGAGAAAGGGAAAGACAGGGAGAAGGAGGGAGGGTGGGAGTGAAAAAGAGAGAGAGAGGAAGAAATCAGGACTTATTTAAAACTGGAGGCAGCACACTTGGTTATATGGCCAAAATTATAGCCAAAATGGTTTAGACCCCAGTTTAGCATGCAAGACTATCAGAAGCTAAATAAAATCTACCTTACTTTGGGAGAAATAATTGGGATTATTTTTGTTCTATCATTTAATCCAAATTCCCAACCTAATCACCCTCTTGTCCCAACTTAAAAATGTATTTCAACCTTGGCCAGTGTGTATCAGTTGTTAGAGCACTGGCCCGAGCACCAAAGAGTGGGGAGTTCAATTATCCATCAAGGGCACATACCTGGGTTGTGAGTTCAATCCCCGGCCCTGCTTAGGGTGTGTGCACGGGAGGCAACCAATCAATGTGTCTCTCTCACATCGATGTTTCTAACTCTCTCTCTCCTCCTTATACTTTCTCTGGAAAAGCAATGGAAAAAATATACTCGGGTGAGGATTACAAAAAGTTTTTTTTAATAAAAATAAAAATTAAAAATCAATATAAAAATATCCTCGAGTTAAGATTAACAAAAAAATATATATATACTTCAGAATGCTTTTTTTTTTAAACGCTCACCCGAGCATATTTTTTCCATTGCTTTTCAGAGAGATGAAGAAAAATATTGATGTGAGTGAGACGTCGACTGATTGCCTCCCTCACGTGCCCTGACCAGGGCTGGGGACTGAACCACAACCGAGGTACATGTCCTTGGCCATAATCAAACTCGGGACCCTTCAGTCCACAGGCCGACGCTCTAACCACTGAGCCAAACTGGCCAGGGCTCAGAATGCTTTTAAATTGACACACAACAAATCTGGATCCTGGCTCTTACCCACTTGAGACCACAAACAAACTGTTCCCACTTAGAACAACTTAAGATTTTAGCAACACTCATATGCTTACATGGCAGCTGTCATTTCTCTATAGAATATGCTGATAACCCCACTCAGAAAATTTAACGTCTGATGGGACATCATTTAATACTCACCTGAATCAGTTTTTGTCTCTCTTCTAGAAAGGAGAGATATTTAGGGGCTACTTTAAGGTGTCTGATTAAACTCTCCTGTAAAGTACTGATGCAGTTTGGAAGAAAGCCACCTGTTTCCATGGAAAATTGAAGGACATCTGCTACCTGTGGCATTAAAAATAGACAATCAGACCAGTCTGTAGAATATATACACAGAGCTATCTCCTGGCAGAAACAGTAGAAATATATTTAGAGAAATATCTTTAAATACCATTTTCCCCAAGGAACAATATGAAAATTTAAAGTTGTACAGTCAACTTATTCTGAAAAGTTGGGGGGGGGGTGGGAAGCACCAATTTCAATGTGTTCTTGTCTACTATCTTTTCCACTTCTTTTATTTGCCTGCCTTATGGTTATTTATTATTTTTTGGTGCCTTTGGGGAATAGGGAAAGACAGATAAAATTCAAGAATTATTTTGCCCAGCCAGAGTGGCTCAGTTAGTTGAGCCCTTTCCTGTCAGAGAACATACCTGGGTTCTGGGTTTGGTTCCTGGGTCAGGGAACATACAGAAGGCAACCAACTGATGTTTTTCTCTCACATCAGTGTTTCTCTCTCTCTCTCTCTCTCTCCCTCTCTCCCCCTCCTCTCCTCTCCCTCCCTCCTTCTAAGCACATCCTAAAAAAAAAAAAAAAATTACTTTTATTACTTATTAGCAACTCTGGTAAAGTTTTGGTAAGGAAAGCTAATAAAATTAAGAATCGAAATAATTATTTATCTGTGTGTAATAGGCTAAACGATGGCCCCCAAAGATATCTCCATCCTAATTCCTGGAACATATGAATGTTATTTTATGTGAAAAAATGGACTTTGAAGCTGTAATTAAGTTAAGGATCTTGAGATGGAGAGACTATCTTGAATTATCTGGGTGGGCCCTAAATGTAATCACAAGTGTTCTTATAAGAGGGAGGCAGAGGGAGGTTTTACTATGGCAGAAATTGGAGTGATGCACTTTGAAGATGGAAGAAGCACAAGCCAAAGAATACAAGTGCAAACTGAAAAAGCAAGGAAACAGACTCTCCCCATCAGATTTCCAGAAGAAACCAGCCCTGCTGACACCTTGATGTTAGCCCGACGAAAACGATTTCAGGCGTCTGACCTCCAGAACTGTAAGAGAGTAAATTAATGTTGTTTTTTAAGATTTTTTTAAATACTGATTTTTAGAGAGAGAGGAGGGGAGAGGGAGAGAAAGAGAGAAGCTCGATGTTACAGCATCGATTGGCTGTCTCCCACTAGGGATCAAGCTGGCAACCCAGGCATGTGCCCTAACCGGGAATCAAACCAGCAACCTTTCAATGCACGGGACAACACCCAACCAACTTAGCCACACCAGCCAAGGCAAATTAATGTTGCTTTAAGCCACTAAATCTGTGATTTGTTACAACAGCAACAGAAAACTAATACATTGTGTTAAAGGAAAACAAACTGGAAAAACTCTCAATTTCTGCTTCTTGTACTATGGAAATCTGAAAAGTAAATTATGGAAAGATATACCAGTATCTTCATTACACAACACATATGGGGTCTAATCAAGAAGCCTGATAGCCTCAAGGGAACAATGAGCAATTCTCTTATGTTTTGGAATAAGCACAAAAGCAATCTCTATAGTGAAAGATCCTGAAAGGCAGCCCAAAGGAACGTGTAAATTAGCAGATACATAAAGGGCAAATTGAATCACATATAACAAAAAATTGAAATTTTAGGAATTTCTGTTCAAAATTAATTGGCCAACTCATTAGTTTAACCCCTCTCCAAAGGCTCTAGGGCTTATATATTCAAGATCTCCCTTTCACTGGCATAAACCTAGAAGAACCTAAGAAAACATAATGAAAACTAGTGTTTTTCCTGTTCTCACAGCCAAACCAGCTCTAAGAGATAGTATAGTCTAGAAATTTCTCATTTCTCTAGCTTCCCTTAGAGCAGAGAAAAATCATATATATTCAGGCTATTTTGGACCAAAATAGGCTTTTTGGCCTATCTAGAATCACCTGCATCCCTGAGCTAGATGCCAACAAGCCTTAACTGACACATATGTGGTAAAGGCAGAGTAGTGATTGTTCACCTCATACTATGTCCCATTTCAGACTTCTGAATGACCCTCAAATTGTTAGAGTTTCTGAATGTTATAGAGTATGGAGCTTACTTCTTATTTGACAAATTCTGGAGCAAAAAGAGGGGGAAATACTAAATACTTTTAAGTAACTTTTCTGCAGTAATTTTACAGCTCACCAAATGATCTCACATATTGTACAAACACCTTACATGAAAAATGAGTGGCAATGGACACACACACAGAGACTTTCAATGACTAATCAGACAAGGCCTATTTTCTACAGGAGCTATGTACAGTAGATTAAATTCAGTGTTTCCCTGCATGTACCTGTGTATCAAAGACATTATTCAGCAAAATTCCATACTGATGAGAGAGGCAATCAGAAAGCGAACGACAATCATGGATAACCTAAGGCATCAGAAGACAAAGACAGAGTAATTAGAACCTGGCTGCTAATTTTACTAGCAGAGGAATCAGTGTACACACTCACCTTCAAAATCTTCTTGTCTTCTAATACCATCTGAAGTCCATTGTTGAAAGCACGATTTCCCAGAAGGAAAATATCAAACAAGTAGACACGGCTATTTGTGGCCACCTACAATAAACCATCCAGACACTTGTTATAGAATAAGGAAGAACTAGGGAAGGGGATCTGAGGATCAAGAAAGACATGTGATAAAATATTTAACATCCTTGCTTTTAAAGTAAACAATAGGCATTAAATATTCTTAGAGAAAATGTGTTTACATTGATCTTAAATAAAATAAAAACCCCACAGAAAAACATGATGCCTGTGATTTTTGAAAAGAAAAGAAACAGACAAGGCTGGTGATTTAGCCTTTCACTTTTTACTATCCCAATTTTAACATTTTACCAGTCTCACCTATGGCATTCTAATACCCCAGGGATTTCAGGTTTAAGGGGAATGAACAATATTTTGTTAACACAAAATGACATTTTATTTTTTGAGTTCCATAATAGGCATGAATGTGTTAGGTATTACATGAAATTACAAGAGAAGATTCCTGTCCCCTAGCAGTATGAAACAGGTAGCAAATACACTGGCACAAATGGCAGGATGTGAAACACTGTTTTACAGATCAATTTTGTCCAATCATAAGAATTCTAGATTGTTTCTGATCATAAAAGTCACAAAAGCAGTACAGCTGACTAATCCACTGAGTCAGTGCAAGGCAAAAAAAAGATTCAAATAGATCTAGAGAGGCAGCCACGTGACAGTCTGATGCCATCTTTGTCATTTCAGGAGCTAACTGTTGGATAGCTACGATTGCCAGGACCCCTGTTCCCATTCTCAGATCATTCATGATGCTTGCTTGAACATGACTCCTAGGTTAATCAATCCCTTCTCCTTTTTTCCCTACATCTTTGAATATAAAAACTGAATAAACACTAAAATTTTGGGAAATAATTCTCTGCTAGACTTTGTGCTCTATGAGAGAAGATATGATGTCAAATTCACCACTATATATGCAACTAGAACAGAGTCAGGCATATGGATGCTGCTATACATTTCTTCAGCGAATCAATGCATGCCATACAATATTCCCATTTTTATATGCAAAAATGTACATGGCTCCAATAACATACATTCAAATCTATATCCTGCTTTTTCCATTCATGAACTTTCAAATATTTTTCTATATTGTGCTTGTCATCAATTTTTGGCATCCTTAAAGGACTTATAAAATGTACTGTAACTTCTATTATTAACTATTTAAGTGGTTTCTGATTTTTCACCATTGTAAATGATGCCAGGATGAATATATTCTCACATATTTTTCTTCATACTTGAATTATTTAGGATAGATTCCCAGAAGTGGCCCTGAGAAGTGGGCCAAAGGATACAACAAAAATTTCATGACTCTCGACAAATATTTGCTACCTTCATCTTATTTTTTTTTTTAATTTTAAATAATTTTATATTTTTCTATTACAGTTGACATATATCACAACCAAGTGATTAGATACTTATATAACTTATGAAGTGATCACACTGATAAAACAAGTGCCCACCTAACACCATACATAGTTACTTGACAATATTCCCTATACTATACTTTATATCCCCATGACTATTCTGTAACTATTTTATACTTTCTTTTTTTATTTATTATTTTTAGAGAGAGAAGAAGGGGGATAAAGAAAGGAGGAGAGAGAGAGAGAGAGAGAGAGAAACATCGATATGTTGTTCCACTTATTTATGCATTCATTGGTTTCTTCCTGTATGTGCCCGGAACAGGGATCCAACCTGCAACCTTGGCATATCTACCCAGCCAGGGCCTAATTTGTACCCCTTAATCCCTTCACCTTCTTCACCCATTCCCTCAACCCTCCTCTCATCTGGCAAATATCAAAATGTTCTCTTTTTCTATGAATCTGTTTCCATTCTGCTTGTTCATTTATTTTGTTTCTTAGATTCAACATATAAGTGAAATCATAGGCATTTGTCTTACTCTGTTTGACTTATTTCACTCCACACAATACCTTCTAGGGTCATCTATGTTGTTGCAGAAAGCAAGATTTCTTTTTTTTAATGAATGAGTCACATTCCATTGTATGTATGAACCACTTCTTCTTTATCCATTCACCTACTAATGGCCACTTGAAGTTGCTTCCATATCTTGGCTACTGTCAATAATGCTACATTGAACATATGGAAGAGTATGTCTTTTCAGTGTTTTGGGTTTGTTCAATAAGTACCCAGAAGTGGAATTATTGGGTCTTTCTTTGTCTCTTGTTATAGGCTTTGCTTAAAAATCTGTTTTGTCTGGTATAAGTATTGCTATCCCAGCTTTTAAATTTTTTTTCATTTTCATGAAATATCTTTTTCCATCCCTTTACTATCAGTTTCTATGTGTCTTTCATTCTGAAGTGAGTCTCTTGTAGACAGTATTCGACTACCCTATGTATTTGATTAGAGCATTTAATCCATTTGCATTTAAAGTAATCATTGATAGATATTTATTGCCATTTTATTGTTCGTATTTTTTATCTGTTTCTTGTTAAAAAGAGCATTAACATTTCTTGTAATACTGGTTTGGTAATGATAAATGCTTATAGCTACCCAGCCAGGTGTGGCTCAGCGGTTGGGTGTCGACCTAAAGTCCAGGAGATTGTGGTTCAGTTCCCAGTCAGGGCACATGCCCAGGTTGTGGGCTCGATCCCCAGTTGGGGGCATGCAGGAGGCAGCCGATCAGTAACGACTCTCTCATCATTGATGTTTCTATCTCTCTCTCTCCCTCTCCCTTCCTCTCTCTGAAATCAATAAAGATATATTTTAAAAACAGCAATGCTTATAGCTATTTCTTGTCTGGGAAGCTCTTTATCTGCCCTTTGATTCTAAATGATAGCTTTGCTGGGTAGACTAATCTTGGTTGTAAGTCCTTGCTTTTTTTTTTCCTTTACATATAATTTTATTTCAGAAGTTTCAGAAAAGAGTTACATTATGTATTGTTAGGATTAAAAAATCTACTTAATAGAGTAAATCCTTACTTTTTATCACTTTGAATACTATGTGTCAAACTCTTCTGGCTTGCAAAGTTTCTGTAGATAAATTAGCTAACAGTCTTATGGGAGATCCCTTGTATGTAACTGTCTTTCTCTTGCTGCTTTTAAGATTCTTTGTCTTTAATCTTTGGCATCTTAATTATGATGTGTCTTGGTGTGGGCCTCTTTGGGTTCATCTTCTTTGGGACTCTCTTCCTGGACTTATGTACCTTTTTCCTTTACCAGAATAAGGAAGTTTTCAGTCATTATTTCTTCTTCTTTTTTTTTAATATATCTTTATTGATTTCAGAGAGAGGAAGGGAGAGGGAGAGAGAGAGATAGAAACATCAATGATGAGAGAGTCATTGATCGGCTGCAGCCCGCAACCTGGGCATGTGCCCTGACCGGGAATCGAACCCTGATCGCCTGGATCCTAGGTCGACGCTTAACCACTGAGCCACGCCCGGCTGGGCTCAGTCATTATTTCTTTAAATAGGTTTTCAATCCCTTGCTCTCTTCTCCAATCTAGTACCCCATGATATGGATGTTGTCATGCTTGATGTTTTATTCCAGAGGTCCCTTAAACTACCCTCATTTTTATTTTATTTTTCTGTTCTTTTTGGGTGTTTTCTGCTACTTTGTCTTTCAAATCCCTGATTTGATCCTCTACTTTATCTAATCTGCTGTTGATTCCTTCTAGTGTATTCTTCATTTCAGTTACTGTATTCTTCATTCTGTTGTGTGTGTTTTTATAGTTTCTATGCCCTTTTATATGCTGTTGAAGTTCTAAGTTTTTTGAGCACCCTTAGAACTATCTGGTAGTTTGCTTGCCTCCATTTCATTTAGTTCTATTTCTGGAGATTTCTCCTGTTCTTTCATGTGGGACATATTTCTTTGTCTCCCCATTTTGGCTGCCTGTGTCTTGTTTCTATGTATTAGGTAGATCTTCTATGTCTCCCAGTCTTGATAGAGTGGCTTTATATAGTAGGTATCCTGTAGTGCCCAGTGGTGTAGCCTCACCAGTCAACCAAATTGGGTGCTCCAGATGTGCCCCTTGTATGGGCTGTGTATACCCTCGCATTGTAGCTGATGATTACTATTAGCATGTCAGTTGTCCCAATGCACCAAGGTTGTGGGTTCAGTCCCCATCAGGGCACACATGAAAATCAACCAATGAATACATAAATAAGTGGATCAACAAATCAATGTCTCTGTTTGTGTCTCTCTTCCCCCCCTCCCTTCCACAGACAAGATGAAGCAGAAGAAAGGATCTGTCAACTTGAAGACAGGCAGTGGAACTCAACCAATCAGAGCAGCAAAAAGAAAAAGAATGGAAAAAAGTGAAGATAGCTTAATAGGCTTGCAGGACAACATCAAACAGACTAATATTTGCATCAAAGACACTCAGAAGGAGGATGAAATAAAAAATGTAAATAGTGTTTGTCAAAGTGCTTTGTAAACTGTACAGTGCTATATAAATATACTTTGTTTTAATAACCCTGTTATTAGATTCTTTAAAAAAACAGGCTGTATCTCTGAAGTGGCAGGTGGAATGGGAATTTTTCTTTTCTCATAAGCCTTTTACCATTATTTTATTTTATTTATTTATTTTTGCTTTTAAGAGAATGTGATACTTTGATTTTAAAGTTAAACACACAAAGAGGACATAGAGGGGATAAATGGTGATGGAAAAAATATACATAAATAAAAACAAAGGGCAAAGGACTTGGTTGGAGAAAATGTGCTTAATTTGCCTTCAAAGGACAATTTAACCAATTGGATGTCCCCTCTAGTACCTAGACAACCAAAGGGGGCAAATTAAGAAATAACCTATAGCTGCCCAGACCCTATTACCAGGAAGTCTACCCTTTTATTTTGGTAGAGAGAGGTTTTGGTTTGGTTTCTTCCCACTAACACCCCCAGATTTATTGAGATAAAATTAACATATATATTGCTTCTCCACCTTTTGGTTAAGATCAAGTGCAGTATCTGTTCTTATCAGTTTAACATCTGATATGTCCTCTATCTAAGGATATAAAAAAAATTAACATATAACTTTGTGTAAGTTTATGATATAAAATGTGATGATTTGATATAAGTATACTGTGAAATGATTACCAAAATAAGGGTAGTTAACACACCTATCAGCTCACATAGTTATTGTGTGTGTGTGTGTGTTGAGAACTTTCAAGATCTATTCTCTTAGCATCTTCCAAGTATACAATCCAGTACTGTCATCTATAATCATCATGATGTACATTAGATTCCCAGTACTTAATGATCTTAGGGCTGGAAGTTTGTACCTTTTTAACACCTTTACTAATTGCCCCCATTCCCCTAATTCCTGGCAACCACCAATCTACTCTCTCTTGCTGTTCGGTTTTTTTAGATTCAATATATATGTATACAGTATTTCTATTTCTCTGTCTGATTTATTTCACTTAGCATAATGCTAAGTTCATCCATTTGTCACAAATTGCAAGATTTCCTTCTTTTTATGGCTGAATAATATTCCACTGTATACATATACCACATTTTCTTTAACCATTCATCCAACTATAAATACTTAGGTTGTTTCCACATCTTGGCTATTGTAAATAATGCTGCAACATAAAAATGGGAATGCAGGTATCTCTTTGAGATCCTGTTTTCATTTCCCTCATATATATATTTACCCAGAAGTAAAATTGCTGGATTATAGGGTAGTTCTATTTTTAATTTTCTGAGGATCTGCCATACTGTTTTCCATAGTGGACCCACCAATTTAAATTCCCACCAACAGTGCACAAGAGTTCCCCTTGCTCCACATCCCCTCCAGTACTTATTTTTTGTCTTTTTTATGACAGCCAATTTAACAGGTGTGAGGTCATATCTCACTGTGGTTTTGATTTGAATTTCCCTGATAATTAGTGATGTTGAGAACCTTTTCATGTATTGGTTGGCATTTTGTATATCTTCTTTGGAAAAATGTCTATTCAGGTCCTTTTGCCCATTTTTAAACTGAATAATTTGTTTTTTTCCTATTGAGTTGTATGAATTCCTTATATATTGTGGATATTAACTCCTTACCAGATATATGGCTTGCAAATATTTTCTCCCATTCCATAAGTTGCCTTTTTATTTCGTTGATCTTTTCTTTTGCTGTGTAGAACGTTTTTAGTTTGATGTAGTCCCATTTGTTCATTTTTGTTTTTGTTGCTTGTGGAGGTTTGTTTTAAGAAATTTGCATCTGTGCTGCTAACTCAGACCTAGTCATCTAAAAGCTAAGGTTTGCCTAAAAAGTGCATGAAACAAGAGAGGCAATTTAATCCTTGAGCAAAAATGGGCTTGATATCTCCATTTCTTTCCTTTTGAGAAGGTAAACATTCCAGAAGGAGATGTTCAAGAGGGCAGACTGCCAATCCTAATAAAAAATATCCTCTCAGTAGGTGGAGGTAGGTCTTGATTCAAAGGATAGAAGGCATTATTTGGATATTCAGCCCCTTAAATGCTGATGCTGCTGAGCTTGATCCAAAGGTGGCTACGCAAAACTCACTACAAAGTTCTTTTGACATAATGGGGACCCTTCACCTGACAGCTCTCAAGTCCAGGAAAATAAAAATTATGTGGTAGAAACCTGCTGTGGAAAGCTACCAAACAAAAGGAAAGATGAGAAACTCTTCATATATTTGAGGCAAGAGAATAGAGCTGGGAAAGAAGACCTCAAGCAGAATCTATGAGAAAGCAATAATGATTATAAAAGTGAATCTTTCAAGAGACAGAAGCTCTTTTCTTTTGAAAAGAATAAACTGAGTAGTTAAAAGAGTAAAAGACATTCCAAACAAGTTATAGTACGGTGACATAAAGAAGATATTAGCCCAGCCCATGTGGCTCAATGGTTGAGAGTTCACCTATGAACCAGGAGGTGACTGGTTTGATTCCAGGTCAGGGCACATGCCAAGGTTGAGGGCTAGATCCCCAGTAGGGGGCAGGCAGGAGGAAACTGATCAATGACTCTCTCTCAACATTGATGTTTCTATCTCTCCTTCTCCCTTCCTCTCTTTGAAGTCAATAAAAACATACTTTTTTTAAAAAAGAAGACAGCCTGGCCGGGTATGGCTCAGTGGTTGAGCATTGACCTAGGATCCAAGAGATCACGTTTTGATTCCCGGTCAGGGCACATGCCCAGGTTGTGGGCTCGATCCCCAGTCAGGGGTGTGCAGGAAGCAACCGATCAATGACGACTGTCTCATCATTGATGTTTCTATCTATCTCTCTCCCTCTCCCTTCCTTTCTGAAATCAATAAAGATATATATTTTTTTAAAAGACAGTTAAAATAAATTTACGAGTCTACAATTATTTCAAAATAAGTTTTTTTAAACTAGGTTTTACCTGAAGCCAACAGAGTTTTCCATGACGACACACGTTAGCTCCTTCTGCAGCCACACTCAAGACACTCTGCTTCTTAATGTGGAGCATCTGGTAAGAATAAAGAAGAAAATGAATTCTCCGAGGAATTATTTTGCAATTATGACATCATGAATGACACAAGTAAAATGGCTAGCAATGAACAAAGTGGATCATATTTTTTAAACTCACAAAATCTGAATAATCCAAAATAGGAGTCTGCTTCACACACACACACCCACACACACCATCACTGAACACTTCTGATCCTCTTTTTAGTTTTCACAAAATTATTCCACAACTGGAAAATAAACCACTCATATTCCAAATGCTAATAAGATCCTTTTGTTACCACTAATGCTACAGAGAATGATTTCTAGTCTTTATGGCCAGATTCCACATCAAAGAACAGCACCCTAGCACAGAGAAATGTACTATACCTGAAGGGAACTCACATAGTGGCTGAGTTTCAGTATCTACTGTTCAGAATCAGCGAGACAAGGACTCTACAGGTCCCTTCAAATCTTGGATTCACTGAATTACTCAAAATTGAAATAGTGGCATCCCAGGAACATATGCTGGTCCTTTAATTATCTACAATCTTACCCTGTTTCAAAACACTATGTAATTCTAAAATCCTTAATCCAAAATCTATGAAAATATCTATATAATACAAGATTCTCCCCATTTTATAGGTAGGTAAATTACTCAAGAATATAACGGCATGGTAACTATGCTAAGCACAATACCTTCCTTTAGAGAGCATAAAGTGTTCCGCATTCTGAGTATCTTTTATCACTGATGAAAAGAGGGGGCTGCAGTTTAGTTCCATCCTCAGTCAACAACAAGAAGGCTGCAGAACTGAGAACAAAAGCTGATTTCCCTATTGATAAGGATTTCCTACCTCTTCAAATTTCCAAAGCAAAAGTTCTTATTCCATTTTTGTTGTCATGGACCCTTCAAAGAATCTATTGATTGTAAAGAATTCTTATAACTTAATTTAAAAGTGGGCAAAAGAATAGACATTTCTCTGAAGAAGATATACAGTAGCCAAAAACACCCCATTAAAAACATTATTAACTATCAGGGAAACACAAATCAAAACCACAATAAGATATTATTTCATACCACTAGAATGGCTATAATGAAAATGACAGATAACATATTCTTGAGGCTTTAAATATAAGAAGCTAACTTGAATTTGTATCTCCAACTCAGACCTTTCTCTTCATCTCTAGACTTAGGCTGACAGAGACTAAACTCCTAATTATCTCCTCCAAACCTTTTCCACCCATAATCTTTCCGTCTCAATTTAATAGCAACTCCACAATTCAGGTAAGAATGTGGAGAAATTGGAACCTTCATATCCTGCTGGTGGGAATGTAAAATGGCACAGCAGCTTTGGAAAACAGTACGACCAATCCTCAAAAAATTAAACATAAAGTTACTATATGACCCAGCAATTTCACTTCCAGGTGTCTATCCAAGAGAAATGAAAACACATGACCACACAAAAACCTGTACATGAATGTTCAAAGCAGTATTATTTACGATAGCCAAAAAGTAGAAACCACCCAAATGTCCATCAAATGGCGAAAGGATAAATGAAATGCGGTATATCCATACAAAGGAATATTTGGCAATAAAAATAAGTGAAATACTGATACAAGCTATTACACAGATGAACCTTGAAAATGTTATGCTAAGCAAAAGAAGCCAGTCACAACGACAATATAATGTGTGATACTATTCAAATAAAATGTTCTAAACAGGCAAATCCACAGAGGCATGAAATGGATTAGTGGTTGTCAGGGGCTAGGGAGGGGTTAGAGGTGACAGCTAAGGAGTATGAGGTTTCTTTTGGGGGTACTGAAAACGTTCTAAAATTCATTCTGGTGATGGATGTACAACTGCAAATATGCTAAAAGCCAGAGAATTGTACATTTTAAATTGGTGAATTTTACAGCACGTGGATTAGATCTCAGTAAAGCTGTTTAAAAAAAAGGAAAGCTGACACTCCTGTCCTGGCCAGTGTGCTCAGTTGGCTGGAGCGTCATTCCATACGCCAAAAGGCTGTGGGTTCAATTTCCAGGCAGGGCACATACCCAGGTTGCAGGTACAATCCCTTCCTAGGTCAGGGTGTAAGTGGGAAGCAATTGAGCAATGTTTCTCTCTCACACAGATCTTTCTCTCAGTCTCTCTTTCTCACTCTCCCTTCCTCTCTCTCTAAAATCAATAAAATAAACAAACATATCCTTGAGTGAGGATTAAAAAATATATATATATTTTTTAAAAAGCTAATACTCCCTTAAAAAATGATTCTCTCATCATTGATGTTTCTATCTCTCTCTCTCTTCCTCTCCCTTCTTCTCTCTGAAATCAATAGACATATTAAAAAAAAAAAAATGTACCCATGCAGACATGAGCATGAGCATAAGCTTGCATCTAAACAGAAAGTGTAACCCAGAAAGTCCATCTGTGAATCATACCCTAGGCTGAATAATTAGTTACTGCCATGTTTCAAATTAATAAATGATTATAATGAAATTACCTAAACAGAACATCTAGAATTGTCTTTTTAAAATATGAGTAAAAAAGAATTTCTGACTCCTCTGAAAGTATCAATGGTGCCCTGGCCAGGTAGCTCAGTCAGTTAGAGTGTCATCCAATACACCAAGGTTGTGGGTTCAATCCCGGGTCAGGGCACACACAAGAAGCAACCAATGAATGCATAAATTGGTGGAACAACAAATAGATGTGTGTGTGTCTCTCTCTCCCTCCCCCTCTCTCTCTCAAATCAATAAAGAGCCCTCCCTGGCTGGTTTGTCTCAGTGGTTAGAGCATTGGGCCATGGACTGGAGGGTTCTGGGTTCAGTTCTGACCAATGGCACTACCTCAGTCGCAGGCTTGATCCCCTGCCCTGGTTAGTTCCCATGCAGGAGGCAGCCAATTGATGTCTCTCTCATATCTATCTATCTTTCTTTCTTTCTTTCTTTCTTTCTTTCTTTCTTTCTTTCTTTCTTTCTTTCTTTCTTTCTTTCTTT